GGTTTAGTTCTCACTGGGGTACCTTGCTTTGATATGTATTTATCTGTTGTGCTGGGCCAAGGGCTTCAGAGAGAGATTGAGTGTGCATACACAAACTACATGCAAGAATTCTGCCATGCTTGTTCTCCCAGCAGAGAAATTACCCAGAGCTGCATATACAGCTGTTCATATGGTGAGACCATGAAGAGTGGAGAGCTTACAGTACTGACACTACAGCTGGAGAGGCTTCCTGTGCACAGATCTCAGTGGGTGCCTGTAGATGTGCAGAACTCCTGCTCCGATGTGCTGTTATTATAGCATGTTAAAGCTGGAGCACGCTAACTAGCATTTCTACGCTGGGAGAAAAAGCCTGAAAATCTGTACACTCATAGGTGTATGTATGAGGCCATAGGCAATATATAAAGTATTGAAGACAATTTTCTTCTTTACGTACACTAAATACATGCAGGCAGCCTATGAAAGAATTGATGGGATCTGCTGAACTGAAAGTTAAAGAGAGCGATTTGGTAAGATAAACATATTGCTGAAAAGCTAAACTATTTCTTTGACTCGCTCAGTCTTGCTGCTGAGGACATTGGGAAGATGCCTACTCCAAAACTGCTTTTTTATCATAAAAATAACCTATTCTATTAGGCTTAGATCAGTGGTTCTCAATCTTTTTAGATCTGAGGCACCCCTTGGAAAATGCCAGTTGTTAGTTTTGATTGTTTTTTTGACAACAGAAAAATAGAACAATTATTTTATTGCAAAGAACTTGGGCCAGAATGTTTTGAACATTATGAATTCCTATTTGAAATCTGAGTTTATCTTGTGAACCATGTTTGCACACCTAAAAGCACTATAATTTGTGTGGCACCCTGGTTGAGAATCTTTGGCTTAGTGTACAGCCAACAGTTCTAAAGTATGAAGTAGCTGAACTTTCAACAAAAATACATCATCACAAAAAGCAGAAGCTGTTCCAGAGAATTGGAGGGTAGCAATTTTTTTTTTACTTATGTTTTAAAAATGCTGTAGAAATATATGGAGAATTGCAGATCAAGTAAGCCTTGCAGAGCTCTCTGGCAAATGGAGTAGAGCACCTAGAAGTGCATTTTATGACAGTCTGACCATTAGTTCTGTCTCTAAAGGAAAATCGAGTTTAATTACTGATTTGATACATTCAAAGAAGGTAATACAGGAAGAATTTGCTTGCATAATAGAACATTCCAAAAGGCCTTAACCAGTTAACAAGAAGCTACCAAAGACGTTAAGTAGTCATTGAGTGAAGGAAAAAGTATTGTCCTGGATCAAAATTGACAAGGAATCAATCCAAACAACAGGATTAAATGGTCATACCAAGTGTTTGTTAAACATCTGGAAACAGGATAGGGATTGAGTAATGATGTAATAAATTGTGTAAATGACAGGTTAGTCAGGACCCAAGACACACGGAGAGAGGTGAATGGCCAACCCATCATTAATTAGGGTTGGGGATTTGCCCAGTCAGATAAAGTTGGGTCAACTGACTGGTCAAACATCAGTCAAAATTGTAAAAAAAAATTGCCATTAGGTTCAAATCATATACAGAAAAGGCACAATTTTTCCATTAAGTGTGTAAAAAAAAAAAAAAAAAAAAAAATTTAAAAATTAAAAAAAAAATCATATTTCTGTCAAGAAAACTACAAAGTAATGTAGTGTTTTGTATAATTGTTAAAACCTTTGACTGGCTTGCCAACCCTAAATTCAGTATGGGAACATGTTAAGTAGTGCACAGTGGATGGGAGAACTTAGTCTAAATATTTTTCAGGGTTTTAAATTAAATATAAAAGTCAAAGTGACCTGGGTATCATTGTAGTCAGTGATATTGTCTGCTCAGTATGCAGCTACTGTCAGAAAAGCTCTTAGGATCACAACAAATCAGACAGTGAATAATAAAGAATATTATAATACCATTAAATAAATCAGTCTGGAATAGTGTGTGCACTATTGATCACAAGCGCAGCTCCATGGAATGGATATGCAGGACTACAGAAGGTTCAGAGAAGGACACAGTGATCAAGGGCAGGGAAAACTCTCTTTTGACTTGGGTTGCTTAGAAAGGAGGTAAGGGAAGGATGGGGTAAAAATATAAAATAAATCTGGGCTAGGGACACAAACCACACACAAACCAGCATAAGTGATTGGAAACCAGTTCAAATCTAACGCAACAGAAGTTCAGTACAGATAAACTGCTTTTAAAATGGCCAAAACCATTTTAAGATAAACCTTTATGGATGTAGTATCAGACTTAACTGATTTAGGTTAAATTGGTTTATTGAACTTCTGTTCCAGATCCCCTCCAAATTCAAGTTAACTCCCAGGATGCTTTGCCCCTCCTCACAGGGTGGGCAGGCCAGCCTTGGCCCAAGCTGTCACCTCCAGCCGAGCAGGGAGGCATGCTTTAGGCCCCCCTGGCTTCTGGTCTGGGCCAGTGCAGGCATGTGGTTGCATTTCTGGAATCAAAAGTGAATTATGTTCACTTGGTTATTGGTTCAGTCCATGCAGCTTAGACTAGCCTGTGAAAATTGAAGTGATTCAGCCTTGGGCTTTTTATCTGTCTGTACTTAGCCCTGATCTTCCTGCCTCAAAGTCTAACAACAAGGGGACATTCAATGGGAAATTTTATAACCAATTAAAGGAAATGCGTTCTTCCTTTTAATATGCAATTGAACTGTTGAACTTATTACTACAGGATGTCACTGAGACCAATAACTTGGCAAAATTAAAAAAAGGCATGAAAATGTATGGATATCAGGAATACCAGAGTTGCATAATCAGTAGGAGATTGAATGGAAGGGATTTTAAACCTCATCCTTCAGAAGCTAGCCAAATCTTTAGGTCTTAACCTGGTGTCTCATACTTAACATTCGCTCCACTTCTGCCTGCTTCATAGTCTTTTCAACTTCTGATGCATTTAATGTTAGCTATTATCTCACAACAGAATACTAGCCTAGATGATCTTTTGCCCAGTGTAGTTTGGCAGTTCCTGTGTTCTGTAGTTAAATACAACTCAGGCTAACAGTAATCCTTGATGCTTGTGTCATGCCAGTCAAGAGTGGAATACTGCATAAATATTAATAACTCTTAGTTAGTGTCCTTAGTGCAAGCGTGGGGCCTGTCCTAGCACAGCATGTTCTTTCCAGAACATGGTCATGCTGTGTTGACAGGGATGGTGAGGCACCATCAGCAGATAGTGTCAGTCCACAATCAAGTTTATGTAAACTTATTTTCATACATAGGACGTATTGATAGGAAGATTGAGTTCCCCCTACCAGACGAAAAAACCAAGAAGCGCATCTTCCAGATTCACACCAGCAGAATGACTTTGGCAGATGATGTGACTCTAGATGAGCTGATTATGGCTAAAGATGACCTCTCTGGTGCTGACATTAAGGTACAGTGTGCTAGTCCTAACTGAGGTTTTAAAAGACATTATGATGAATGCTTAAAAATAATCTGGCATGAATTATGATTTTTTTTTTGTTGTATAATCTACATGATGAGTTCCCTTTATCTGCTAATGCTCAAGAAAAGCATGATGTTGTTTGAAGTTTTACTATTTCCTGTGTCTCACCATTAAGTAGAGGAACTGCCAGAGCCTCCAATGTTTCTCTCTTAGCATTAATGATCTTCATACTCCATTTGAATGCCAGTCAGTATTCAGGTGTCATGGTAACATTTCCAGTTTATAAAGTTGAGTAGGTATTAAAACTCTATTTCTAATAGCTGACAGGGGAGCACTACTAGATAATGCTGATGCATTGGCAGTCAGAAAATGGAAATCGTAGTAAAAACATTTTATGGTAGCACAAAAGCCAAGCAAACAAATGTCCATACCCTTTATTGCATCACAGATGCCCCAAATTTGTGGCTTCAATGAAGGTGGTATTAATTTGTGCAGCTCTTTAGCAGCAGCTGTTGGTTTACTTTATGGCATAAAAACACCAGCAGCTCAGAGCTGCCTGCAATCTGGACATGTTGCCACCCCAGCACAAGGCTTGAGAGGCCCAATTCTGCACACCTGGGAGTTCCTGTGCAGGACTAGACCCCTCAAGCCCCAGGAGAACATGTTGCCTGTTTTCCTGCAGCATCAGTTGAGTGGGACAGCAGGGTACCCATGTTTCATTTCATAAAGTGGATCTGCTGTTCCAGGACATTTATTTGATGACTTCTGTTTCTAACCTCACTGTTCAGTTTTGCATCTGGAGAATTCAATTTGGAAATGGTCTGTCCTAGTATTTTGCTTGCACTGTTTGAATAAACTTGTGAATATCACTTTCCCTCTTTGACAGGCAATTTGTACAGAAGCAGGCTTGATGGCTTTGAGAGAACGCCGCATGAAAGTGACAAATGAAGACTTTAAAAAATCTAAAGAAAATGTTCTGTATAAGAAACAAGAAGGCACCCCAGAGGGGCTTTATCTTTAGATATTCTTGGCATACATTGGGACTTCTCACATTCTGAATACATAAAGGAGGTGACAAATATTCCACATGCTTTTAGCAAAGCAAAAAGTTTGTGCCATGGCCTCTTCAAGCATGTAGGGTAAAGTTCTGTTGGACTGTATTTAATTTTAAGTCAGTGTGAAACATCTTATTTCCCAATAAAAACATTGTGTTTCAGAATGGATTTTGTTAGTGAATTACCTTGCTAGTACTTCAAACTTAGCAACCAGCCCAATTCACAGAGCCTCCTGCTTTATCTGTACTTGATCTGTAGAATAGTTCAGAATTCATTTACCTTTCACAAAAAAAGTTTGGGTCTTAAAGACAGACCCTGCAGTGGTAGTGTGAGCTGCAACTGCTATCCAGCCTATATACAACTAAGGGAACAAATTCTCTCTGGCAGTCTTCAAAAGGAATGGTCTTTTCAGTTTCCATGTACTCCCCTCAGGCAGTAGTTAATACTAAACATCTTTTATTTTGTGTTAATCGCATAGCAAGTTACAACTCAGAAGAAATGAAGCATCTTACACTAATGTCTTAACAGCTGTGTCTTTACTCTTTATTTTTTCTACACAATATTACAGTATTAGTACAAATGGCTTTTAAAATGGTTAGGAATTAATAGAGTTCAATCTTAAGTTTTGTTTTTTGTTTGTTTGTTTGTTTTTTAAATAAGATGTAAAGGAGACCTTGTAACAGGACAAAAATGAAGCCATAGCAGTTCAAACAGCATTTTTAAATTGGTCCCATACATAAAAATAAATGCAACAAATACTGAGCCTACCTGTTCAAAGTGCTTGAGTATAGATGAGTTTAAAAGCTGGTGTTCATTCACTGATTCTAATATTATAAAAACCTAAGTCTGTCTGTAATGCTTTATTCATGCTCTGATTGGCTGACAAACAGCCAATCAGAGTGCTTCAAGTGTGGGGGAACAGTGCCATGATGCCAAAGACTGGACAGAGGGTGGGGAGCTGGGGCCAGCAGCTCTGACCTCGCCTCCCCCACCCTGCTCCCTGCAAGAGGCAGAACAGCAGCAGCATAGGGCATAATAGGTGGCACTCCAGCCCAGCCCCCTCCCCCCTGTCATTCTTGACGGGCAATTGGCTAGTACTTACATAAAGGTGACATGCAGCCTGTCTTTTCCTAACTTTTCTGTAAGACTATGCCATTGCTAGTTTTCCCAGATCTATACAATGTTTTCAGTTTGCTAGCTCTAATAAGGTTTATGAGGCTGGTAGGAGGCAGAGCCTTGTGTATATAGTCTAACAGAGCCACTAATTTATCTTACAGAACAGAACAAAGAATATATTGTAAGTGTCCAGATTTGTATAAATTTTCTAAAGCTCTACACTGTGTGTTGAACCTTCCACTGTAGCAGAGAGCTGAAAGGCACAAAGGCTGAACCTCTTCTCTAAAGGCTAGTAGTGGAGAACCTTGTGTGCTCATGCAAGGTTTAACGATGCACAGAGAAATTCAAGCTCTTTCTGTAATTTCCTGAGCAATAACATTTACTTAAACTACAAGCCATGTCCTTAGGGATAACACTTCAGTAATAATAGCATAATCTGTCCCTTTGAATGAGCTGGTAGACTCCCATTTCCTGCCCCTACAAGAATTAAAAAAAAAAAAGAGAGCTACTTAAATTACTTTATTGTATTGCCACTTTAACACAAAGTAAAGAATCTCACCCCTACTACTTCAAATTAGAGATGTTCTTGTTCTGCTCGTCTTCTGACCACAATCTGCATAAAAAGTGCGATGACTTTACATATCCAGATAGTTGTGTAATTCAGGATCCCCAGAGTACATTCTAGTTCTATAATCTACTTCCCAAAACTACTGGGAGCCCTGTAATATACAGCCCATACTAGAAAAGGAAATGGATATCTAAGGACTCTTTAATTCTATGTTTGGTTTATGCTCCCTACATTGATTCATATTTTGATAAAAATAGATCTTTAAACTGAAAATCTTGTCAACCTAACCACTGATGTACATCATAGTTATCCTGGGAATTTGCTCACTAATTGTTCAGGAATGCAAGATCCATCTAATAATTTACAAGCATTTATTCATCATTGATCTTTTCATGATGTGTTCAAAAGTTTACTACAGTAAACAAATATGACATATTTTAAGACATAAGACAGCATGCCAGTAATCAGCTACAGGTTAAAAGGAAAAAAAAAAAATAACCAGCTCAGCCATTAAAAACTAATTGGAGTAACATCACTTGGGACCACATAAATTACAAAATTACAGCACTGATAAAAACCGAACACAGATTAACTGCTGGATAAAAAAGTGACAACCTATTTGATCTAGCACCTTTTGCCCCAAGCCCATACAAACTATAGTTAATCTACCATTTTTGTTACAAATTAAGTGATAAAGTGTAAAGCAGCATTATCCACTAAATACAAAGTAAATGAATTGCACAAAAAATGTCAAGGTCAAGTAGAGCACAGCAGTGGAATGTGCAGTAATTTCTTTGTATGCATAGTCTTTGAAAATGTACCTGACAATGGAAATCAACATAAGTTTTTAAAATTACTCACAAGCACTGCAATCCCAGTTACAATAGCCAGTGCTATGATGATGGCAGCAAAGCCAGGAGAAATAAATAGTCTTCATGTTAAAACAAGGTGGTTCATTGTCAAAGAACAAAACACGAATTGAGTCTTTGTCTATCTCAAGATTCCTGTCATCCAGACTCAGAGAAAACTTGTTCTTCAGCTGTAAATAGAAAAGAGTTTTATCATTCAGGAGCAGGATAAATGGCCAAACGTCCATTGAAAAGCTCAGGAAAAATCAATAGCTTTTGAATTCTGACTATATACCTGGGTTCACTAACGCTTCACAATTAAGGCAGAGTTGCTTGGTAACAGAAACCCTTGTACTGAGAAGGTAGGCAGAAGGCAGGGCAGGGTAACACCTTAGAGATTAACAGGTTCAGAGAGGCATAAACTAGGCTTTCTGCAAGTCCATTTATAGCAGCTGACAAAGTAGGCTGTCACCTATGAAAGTTTCTCTCTGAACTTGTTAGTCTCTAAGTCAGGCAGCACAGGCTAGCACCTAACTCAACTAACTACCTCTCTACTGAAAAATGACAGGTGGTGATGGCACGGGCTGGTGAATATAAACAACCTGCTACCTGTCATTTGCAGGTAGATTTAAATGTACTGCACTTTTCGTAACATTTGCACCAGTAATAACACTTCAAATTCCCTGCTGACAATCAAGTTTTACATGGCAACCCTGGAACAAATCCCTCAAGAAAGGCAAGAGATTGTTTTGGGTAGTGGGATGTGACATACTTGAGGTAATTATGTAAAAGAAAGAAAATAAAAGTGTAGACAGATTTTTTTTTTTTTTTAATGTGGACTTCTTTCCGCCCAAAGGCAAGGGGTGGAAACTTTTGTCACCTACACATTTCAAGTTAACCTGAAACCAGATCAGAGGGGATAAATCCAATGTAGAGAAGGAGATGAATCAGAGCCCACTGTGGTAAATTAGGCAGCTAGGATGTACCAAGCTGCAGCATGCATGCACCACACACCATGCAGGGCCAAGCTAGGGCACATGCTGCCTGTGGCACCTGTGCCAAACTGGCCCTGCCAATGAATCTGGGGGTGGTCCATATTGGACCCAAAGACCAGCCCTACATGCCAGATCCATTGGGCAGGGCGAGTTCAGCATGATCGCCACATGCAGCACTTGCCTCAGACTGGCTCTGCGCATGGAATTTAATGCACTCTGCATACAGGCCCCACACACCACATGCAGCATATCAGACTGGGGTGGGCATGTGCTGCATAGTGCACAGGACTAGAGCCAGCATGTGCACTGCAAGCAGCACATATGAACAGTCCAGGGTGCACAGTGCATGCAGCGCCCACACCAGCCCAGCCCTGCAGGCTGGATCGCACAAGTGAGACTGAGTGTGGGCTCAATCTGACCTGCAAACTGACCTTCTGCCCTTCGCCTGAGCTTGACGCCCCTGCTGCAGGGCATTCTGAGAGGGGCCTTCTTTACTCATAAATAAGGACTTGTCATGAATCCACCAACATCTAACTCTTGCTTGTGCCTGTCCCACCTGCCTTCTCCCTGCAGCTTTGCCCCCCACTTTTCCTCTCTGCTCTCCCTCTCTTCCCTTCCTCCCAGCCTCTGCTCCCCCCTGCCCCCCCACACACATCCCCTCACAGCCTCTGCTTCCCCCTCTGTCCCTTATCTTTGCTCTGTGCCAGAAGGCTTCATCCCTATTCTAGCCTGGGGCACAGAATACAGCCCACAGCCCAGCCCAGTGCTGCACCATGCACAGAGCAAAGGTAAAGGGGCAGAGAGGAGCAGAGGCTGCTTTGGGGGTGGGGGGAAGAGGATGCAGGGTGGAGATGGTGGGTGCAGGGAAAGTGAAGATAATGGGAAGGGCGTGCAGTAGCTGTGTACTACAGCTACATCCCTGACCCTGGGTAGGGGCTGAAGCCAGAACTGGAGCCAAATCCCCACCCCCCCATGATTCTAAGATGAGCTTTTTCCTCCATGTTAAATTGGTGGGGGGGCACCTCATCTTAGAATCTAGTGAATATGACATTTAAAAACTAATTTATCCAATAGCAAAGGGGCTGGGCAGTGGGGACAGGAGCATGGCCAGACAGGCTGAGCCTGAGCCTTTGCTTATATCTCCTCACACATGACTTACTCCCAACACCCTTCAAAGACTCTTGCAGGATTGAGAATCACTTTATCCACCCATCTATTTGTCAAAACTTTTCAAATTAAGAACAAATACAATTGATCACAATCAAGCGTCTTTGGACATCCACACATTTCTTTTTTTTGTTCCCCAAGCAGAAAGAGAAGCTAAATGTGTCAACTAATTTATTTATTGTTAATTATTCACTCACCTCCAGTCAAGATCCTCAAAGTTCCTCTTACAAATATTTAAATATACATAGAGCAAACAATTTTACAGGTAGATATGTCACAAATATGTACAAGTGCCCAATTGTAGGCATTTATTTCTTAAATTTATCAAAAGTTTAAAGGTACAGTTTACCTGCCTCCATAAAAAAAGAACTGGGTATATGTTTTAACAAGGGCTAGTTGGCAGATATAGAGAGAATAAAAAATGGTCACAGAGGTTGGCTGAGACTTATCTTGTAACTGGAGGGGTTCTAACTGCCCTGTAAAGACAAGGTGAAATGTGTGGTTTCCAGTCTCTGTGGTTTTAAAATGATAGCATAACACTTACCTCCTGCTCTGTGTAATAGGCCACTGTAGCAATATCAACTGTCTCCTTTGTACTGTTTCTGCTGATTTTTAGAGAGATCTCTCGAGTGAATTCTTGTACCTGAATTTGAGAAAGAGACATTTAGCTACAAGTTATACCATTGTGGCACACACTGCTTTGCTGATCATAGTGCAGTCAGAAGACCCTGCTGTGGCCAGGACTTTGGGAGGCCCATGACACTGCACAATATACACCATGTTTAATTAATACAGGGCCTGTAGAAAGATCTACAACAAGCTTGTCCAACGTGCAGCCTGCCAAGCCATTTTATCTGGCCCGCAGCAGCGCCGCTACCGCGGAGCGCGGAGCGGCAGCGGAGCGCAAGGCCACAGAGTGCAGGGCCATGGAGCACAGGGCGGCAGCGCGGAGTGCAGGGCGGCGGCACAAAGTGCAGAGCCGCCGCTGCGGAGCGCGGAGCCAGGGCAGCGGTGCACGGAGCTGTGGCGGTGGGGCCGCGGCGAGGCAGGCAGGGCCGGCCTGCAGGCCCCAGCTGGCAGCGAGAGGAGGGGAGCTGCTTACCTCCGTGGGGCCCGGGGGAGTGGCCCTGCACAGAAGGTCAGTCTCTCCCTGGGCACTGCAGCTTTCCAGGCCCGGCTGCCCGTGTGCGAGGCCCCGAGGGGGATGCTTCTCATGTGCTGCTGGGGATGGGAGGAGGAGCCCGGCTGGGTCTGCACCGGCCAGCAGAAGCGGTGGCGGAGCCATGTGCCGCTTGGGATGGGACAAGCCTGCACCGGTCGGTCCCGAGCGGCACACCGCTCCACCGCCACTTCTGCTGGCCAGTGCAGACCTGGCTGGCCTCCTCCCGTCCCCAGCAGCACATGGGAAGCTGGCTTCAGCTGCATGCGGCTTTTCCTGGCCGGTGCACCCACCATCTCCACCCTGCCCAGGCGGGTCCTGCAGCACCATGTCAACCTGGGCATGGCACCAGCAGGCCGGGTGGACCCCAGGTTAACCCTGGCCTGGCCCCATGACTTCTCAGCACCAGGTCAACCCGGGCATGCATGCCATGTCAACCAGGACCATGTCAACCCCTGCAACTTCATTGGTGTCAAAGGTCATGTGACATCACTTCTTTATATGATACCACTTCCTGTGACGTCTTTGAATATGGCTCACTGGCCCACTGGGTGATAAAAAGTTTGTGATCCGGCCCCACATTCAAAAAGATTGGACACCCCTGATCTACAAGGTCTAGCTAACCGTTCCAGAATACCCTTTCTGTCCATTACAACCAAGCCCTATCTGTTCTCTCTGACAGGTAACATCTCATGCAAGGCACAGAAAAGATCTACAACAAGCTTGTCCAACGTGCAGCCCGCCAAGCCATTCTGGCAAAGGCCAGAGAAAGATATCAAATGAATTTAGAGATGGGGTGGAAGGGTGGGGAGGACAAGGATTGCGTTGTGTGTGTGTGACTGCTGAAAACACACAGGACTTACTGTTATGTTTAAGATCACACATGCCCTCACTGCAAAGCGTAGAGCCAGCTGAGCAGCTAGTGTCCTAATGAGATAACAACATTTTAGCTATTATTTGCCACAAATATTTGTTGATAAAGAACATGTTGTGGCCGGAAGGTCTTTCTCCACAGCCGAGTCAGCAGCATACAACTGCATACAGCAGCATACAGCATAGCAGGGCCACCACCTTCTCTGGCAGCAAGGCTCCTGTCTAAGACCAAGCTATTACACCTTCTCACTGCAATCCAGAATGGGAGCAGGCTACTCACAACAACAGAAAGTGCTTCAGGTGACAGAACATAAGCTCCTTTGGGCAGTGTCTAGAGTGGAGCAAGGCATTTTGAAATTAAAAAATAAACATAGAAGATATGCCATCTTGTGACATTTTTGGTAGAAAATAGCCCTGCTTTGACCTGCTCTTGTATTGATGTCATTCTTTTCCCCGAAAGTGATATTGGTTGGCATGGGTCCAAAAGGGAGAAAGGTATAATCCCTCAGGTGATCAGGGGGAAGCTAGAGAGGCACCTCCCTGACCTGTGTTCATTCTTTCAGAGAGTTCACCTGACACGTGGTTTTCCCGCATGTATACTGGTCTGTTATAGCATCCTGCTCAAGTAAAAGCCTCTTGTTTTCCCCTTTTATGACTAATAACTCCCAGGCACCTCTTGCATGATAGGTTGTTAGTCACCTATCCTAAGCCTGCAATAGTCAACACAATACCACTGGCTTTGTTAACACTGCCCTGGACATGGCCCTCATCTTACATTCAGGTGGCTCAAAATGGTTTCTCTATCCTCACCAGAAGCAGCAAGTGTGGACCCCAAGCTGTTAGAAAGGAGGACCAGACCATGCAGGGGCGATGCGTAGGGGGTGCACATGGGTGCACGTGCATCCCCTGCGCGTGGTGGTGCACCCCCTGCAAAAAGGTGCCGCTGGCACAGCCAGCGGTGTCTGCAGGCTGTCCATGATCGCCCCTGGCCGCCGCCGACACTGCTGGCAGCATCTGTGGGTAGTTGCCAACCTGTGGTCAGTGCTCGCCGCTGCCACCCCCCCCCACCGACAGTGCTGGTGGCATCCATGGGAGCTCCCCGCTCTCCACTGGTGCAGCCGTGTTCCCCCCAGCCTCCGGGGGCAGGCGCCATTCATGAGACCACGAGTTCTCTCCTTGCTTCCAGAGTGAGGAAAGTCTTGAGCCCTTCCTCACCTTCCAGCCACTCTGAAGGGGGAAGAGGACCGGGCTGAATCAAGAAATTCCCACAAGTTCAGGCTCTGGGATAGGTCTCCAGTGCCTGCGTTGCTCTTCCTACAACTGTGGGAAGATTATCTGCTAGAAAGCTTGAGTTTCTTCCTCTCTAATAAAATGCATTAAACCTATTTTAGACAAAGGGATTTTTAACAAGCTGTGAAGTACCTGTTGGTAACAAACCTGCAAAGTGCCTCTTCTTTCCCTTTGAGAAATATAAAGGCAGCCTTGAAGCTGAAGTCTATTTGGATTAAACTGCAAAATAATAACATCAGAAGCAGCCAGTGAGTGAATAAAAAACAACTGTTTTATTCAAACAAACAACAAGGGTCTAATTTTTACTTCTCTTCTGTGCTACAAATATAGCCTTAAACTGGAACATATTTCCTAACCTTGTCAATTATAAAGTATAGTTTGGAAGCCTCAGGGGCTCTCTCATGACTCCAATGAGCAATTGAAACGATGCAGAAGGCAAATTGCCTTGGTATTATCTCAAGCTCAGCAAGGCAGACTCCAAGAATGCAGGCCCTCAGAAACAGAGATGGAAAGGCTGGGGAGGAATAAATAGAGTAAGAAGGTGACTTCCTCAGTAGGCAAACAAATATTATGGAATATCCAGCTTGGAGTGTGCATTCAACCAAAGAGCACAGGTCACTATTAGCACCAAACAAATGCAGCAGCAATAGTGTTTGCAAACATCTCTGTGAAAGCCTGGTTTGAATACTTATTGCAGCCAATCAGGAATTTTCCAGTGAAATGTTTTTCATCAAAAAAAATCTCATTTTGCCAAAAATAAAACTTTTTATGGGAATGTGCCAGTTTCAACAAAGCATTCATCAGAAACTTGTTCATCAGAAATGTCCTTCTATGGTATGCTTGGATAAAATCATAGATCATAGGTTCAAGTGTGGGAGATGCCAATTCAAGCTTGGATTGAAAACAGGCACTTAAAGCTAAGTTTCCAGTGTCCCAGGTGATGCCCCAACCACTGAGCTGTTGCATTTCTCTCTCTCCCCATACTTTTTCACAAAGTTTCTCAACAGTTCTTGTTTTTGTCCTAGTGCATAAAGAAAAATATTTTAAAATCTCAAAAATGTTTATAGGTCCACAAAAACATATTTCCCACCCAAATTTGATCCTTTTTTTCAGCTGACAGGAATTTGGATAATTAGGGTTTTGTTTGTACCAACATTGGAAGACAGGCTGTTCTTCATATAAATTAATCTCCATATTCACAAGTGGACGTGAGTGAGTGAGTGAGTGAGTGCGCGCGTGCAAGCATTTGTGGTTTATCATTATTTACTATTTCATCATTTCCTCTTTACAAAGGGCCAATCATCCAAACAAGAAGCAAAACCAATGCCAGGTGACTTTGTTGACCAGTAACACAACATAAATAATTAACAACCAAAGTGAATCGTTTGCCAACAAAACATACACCTGTTTGGTTGGCATGAACTACTTTTTGGCATATAATTATGTGTAAAGTAGAAATTAGAAACAGCCTGGCAGGAGGGAGAGAGGTATTGAAGAAGTCAACAGCACACTGTGGTATTGGTGCCATCGCGAAGGCTTCAGCTTTTTCGATCACAGTCTGAACTTCAGAGAGAGAGGCAGCAGTTTGTTGGGAAGGGACAGCCTCCACCTCACTCCGATGGAGAAGCTCTTCTTGGCTGACCTGCTCGACAGGGCTTTAAACTAAGATTACAGGGGGATGGGCGGACAATCACTAGTGCGAGCCCTGGAAGTGACAATCACAGAATCAGCAGGTCAGATAACACAAGGGAACTCACTCCTACCCCAGCCCTAGGATGAGACTCTTCTAAGAGGCCAGGGAAGCCCAGGGCTTCTGATGGCAAGCTTAATTGCCTGTACACAAATGCCAGGATCGTGAAGAACAAAACAGGAGGAACTGGTCCTTCTGTTAGGCAAAAATGAATATGATCTCATAGGAATAAGGGAGACCCGGTGGGACTCCACCTATGACTGGACCACAGGTATTGATGGCTATACCTTGTACAGGAGGGACTGTGTTGTGAAGAAGGGCAGGGGTGTAGCTCTCTATGTGAAGGACCAGTGCACCTCCCTACAAGCAGAGATTGGCACCCAACGAGGGAGTCTTGAGATTCTCTGGGTTAGAATACAGGGAGAACATAGTGAAGGGGACATAACTGTAGGAGTCTGTTACAGACCTCCTAACCAGGAAGAAGAGCTTGATCATGAATTCGCTAGGGAACTGGCAGAGGCTGCAGAGTCTTGGTGCATGGTCGTCATGGGCGATTTCAACCGCCCTGACACCTCATGGGAAGAGCATTCAGCCTAACCCAACTAGTCGCAAAGCTTCCTCACTTGCATTGATGAGCTCTATTTAACTCTTGTCAGCCCATAGGCTTCTTGAGTCAAGACGCTGCTGTATCTGGTACTGGCCAAAGGGGATAATCTAGTCAGCCATCTGAGGATTGAAGGGAAGCTTGGCGACAGTAATCACTTTTCTCTATCCATTGCAAAGCTGGCAAATCAGTCAGCAATGCAGAAATCCTTGACTAAGACATCTGACTCGCAAGCTCAGGAGGTTGGTTGTTAAGGCCCTGAGAGACCATGATCTGACAGGGAGGCGAGTCCACAATGACTGGTCATTCCTTAAGGACATAATCCTAAAAGCACAAGGAAAGTCCATCCCAGTGCATAGGAAAGGTAGCAAAAGGGCTGGGAGACCCCCTTGGCTCAATAGGGACCTCATGGACCTCCTGAGTCTGAAAAGAGATGGAAGGGATGGAAGTCAGGAACTACTGCTAAGAAGATTTATGCAGCACTAGCCTGCACCTGTAGGGAGCAGACCAGAAAAGCCAAGGCTGAAACTGAACTCAAACTGACTATGGGAATCAAGGACAATAAAAAGTCCTTCTACAAATACATGGGAAGTCGGAAAAAACATTGGATCCTTGCTGAATCAAATGGGGCAGCTAACAACCAACATCCAGGAAAAAGCTAATCTGCTCAATTATTTCTTTGCATTGGTTTTCCACCAGCCCAAGGGGATCAACCTGCCTGACAGGATGCAGGACTACCAGGGTAAGGGTGATCATACACTTATAATTGTCAAAGATCTTGTGAGAGAACAGCTTCAGAAGCTGGACATCCACAAGCCAGCTGGCCTGGATGAAATGCACCTAAGTGCATGAACAGCATGTGCCCCTGGCGGCTGGGGGGGCATGGCTGTGCTGGCAGTGGCAGGAGCGCAGTGGCAGTAAGCTAGGAGCTCCCGCAGACGGTGTTGGCAGCGGCGGGGGGGGGCACGCAGTGGCGAGTGCTAACCAGGGGCTGTCGGCAATGGCCAGTGATGATTGTGGACCGCCCAGACACCACCAACGGTGTCGGCGGTGGGGTGTGGATGCACCACCACACTCAAGGGGTGCACGTGCACCCCCTACATGTTGCCCCTGCCCAAGAGTGCTAAAAGAACTGGCTGACCTCATAGCATGAACAATGGCGAGGATATTTGGTAACTCATGGTACTTGGGAGAGGTTTCTGAAGATTGGAAGAGAGCCATTATGATGCCTATCTTCAAGAAGGGAAAGAAGGAAAATCCAGGGAACTACAGGCCAATCAATCAGTTTGACCTCAATCTCTGGAAAGATCTTAGAAAAAATTATCAAAGAAACCATTCTTGACAGGCTAAAAAAAAAAAAAACCAAAAAAGCCATCAACAACAGGCTAATGGAAGACAACGTTTTAAGACATAGCCAACACAGCTTTGTTGTAGGTTGGTCTTGCCTTACCAGCCTCATTTCATCCTATGACCAGGTGATGCATCACCTGGACAAAGGAGAAGAGATTGATGTCATATATTTAGATTTCAAAAAAAGCCTTTGACTTGATCTCCCATGATGTCCTCATGGTAAAATTGGGGAACTGCAGCCTTGACAACCTTACAGTCTGATGGTTGGGGAACTGGCGCTGTGGTTGGACCCAGAGAGTGATAATTGATGGAACTGAGTTAACATGGCACATGGTGACCAGTGGAGTCCCCCAGGGCTTAGTACTCGGACCAATACTCTTTAATATATTCATAAATTATCTGGATTTGGGTGTCAGAAGCAAACTGGCTAAGTTCACGGATGACACCAAATTATGGGGAAATGTGGTTACTCTAGAGGATAGGGTGGCAATTCAGGCCAACCTGCTCAGGCTCACAAGGTGGGTGGATCAAAACCTGATGACATTCAACATGGAGAAATAACCCACATCATACTTATAGGCTCAGCAGTGCTACACTCACTAGCACCATGACCAAAAGAGACCTGGGGGTCATGACTGACCACAATATGAACATGAGCTACCAACGCAATGCTGCAGCTGGCAAAGCAAATACAACTCTGGCTTGCATCTACTTGTGCATCTCAAGCAAGACCCAAGAAGTCATCCTCCCACTTTACTCAGCCTTAGTGAGACCGCAGCTGGAGTACTGCATCCAATTCTGGGCTCCATGCTTTAGAAAGGATATGGAAAAGCTTGAGAGAGTCCAGAGGAGAGCCACACGCATGATTAGAGGTCAAGAGAACAGGTCTTCTGAGTAGAAGCAGATAGGCATGGGACTCTTCAGCCTGGAGAAGCTAAGGCTCAGGGGTGACTTGATGGCAGCCTAAAAGTATATAAGGGGTGTGCATCAGGAACTGGGAGAACATCTGTTCACCAGGGCACCCCAAGAGAAGACAAGGTCTAACAGTCTCAAACTTCTGGAAGACCATTTTAGATTGGACATAAGGAAAAATTCTTTACCATCCGAGTCTCCAGAGTCTGGAACAGATTCCCCCCAGAAGTGGTGCAAGCACTTACTCTTGATACCTTTAAGAAAAGCCTGGATGTTTAATTTGCTGGGGTGATTTGACCCCAGCTGACTTCCTGCCCCTTGGGCAGAGGGCTGTACCCAATGATCTCGCGAGGTCCCTTCCAGCCCTAATGTCTATGAAATCTATGAAATAATACACAGAGAGGAAAATTGGTGGAACTCATTCAATATTTTATTTGGATCTTGTCTCATGGTCCATGCTAACAGCTCCAGGTGGTTGGGCTACAAATTGTTCTTGCTCCCCTTCCTTGAAAGTACATAGGACCCAATTAAAAAAAATTATATTTGAAGTGTCAGGCACTTGGGTGACTTTCACTTTATAAACATATGTCATGATCAATAGTCCTAGCAAACTGAGAATAAAAATCTAAACAGTCAAAATATGTATCTAAAGATCTCTAAACATCCTCCATTCTTTGGTTTATAGTAACTTATGATCTTAAAAAAAAAAAAAAAAAAAAAAAAAAAAAAAAAAAAGGAATACACTGGAAATTTTCTGAGGAAAAATTTTATGGAACATGCTGGGCATGTCTACACGTGCATTAAGGCACTTTTTCTAATGTGCATCAAATTTAGTACTTCCAATGTAAGGTACTAAACAAATATGCATTAGGCTGTCTTAATGTGCAGTAATGAACACACATGTTTTTTAAATGACGCTTAATGTGCAGTAGCTTATTTTACTGCTCATTAGCAAAATCTGATTTTTTTTACTTCATGCTGTAATGCACAGTAAAATAGGCTACTGTGCATTAAAGTGCATGTATAGATGTTCCTGCTGACTAATTAAAACAGAAATATTTTGCCTGAAACATCTCGGGTTCCTCTAGCTTCCACCAAATCAAAGGCAGTCTTCTCAAACAATCTTGCCTGGATTCCTGATGACAGCCTGGGACCCTGCGCTTCCACCAGGTGCTGCAGCCCTGAAGCAGATCCATCAAGCAGGAACTCCAGGGTCCAGATGGCAACCAGCCATCTCAGGAAGCAGGAAACCTGAAAGCCCTGGAAACCCAGGTACCCATTGCAGCAGTGAAACCAAGAAGTGTCATTTCCACTGAGCAACTGCAGAATCAGGAAGTGTACTTCATTTTGGAAACATTCCCATGTTAGCATTTCCCCAGATTTCTAATGCAAAACCACTTTTGAAATTGTTTTCAGTCCAGTTCAAACCAAAAGTAAAATCTTAAAAACCAAAATGTTAGGCAATCTGGAAACACAATTTTTCAACCAGCTCTATTCAAGAATGCACGGTGCCCGTGTTCCAGCAAGGATCCAGTCTAACTACCTATGTAAACTGTCACACTCATCATCAAGTTAAATAGGTGCCTAGTAGGGCTGCGTGAAATTTCTCCACCAGTTTTGTTTCAACGCTGTTTCAACCCGTTTCGAGGTCGAAACAGCAAAATCAAAACAGAACACATATGGTTGAAACAGCCTCAAAACAAAATGAGGCAAGTCAAAACGTTTCAACATTTCGCTGCTGTTTTGATGTTTTGCCCATAGGCTATAATGGGGAAGGTTGAAACAGCCTTTAAACTTTGTTATTTCTGGTCTGATTTGGACAAAGCTTGCAGGAATGGCAGCACTCTCTGAAGGCATGAAGCCTGCCAAGTTTCAAGAAGATAGGTGCAGGGGGTCGGAGAACTGCACCCCAAAGTCTTGAGAGCCAAACTTGTGTCATGTGTATGTGTTAAGCCACAGTGGGGTCAAAACTGCAGGCATGCTAGCCCCTGTGGAGGTCACAAAGCCTGCCAATTTTCAAGGAGGGGTTTGGGGGAAACTGCACTTCAAGCTGTGGACAAGCAAAACTCGTGACATGGGTGACACTGTGTGTTAAGGCACAGCAGGGTGAAAGCTGCAGGCCTGCTAGCCCCTGCTGAAGTCACGAAGCCTGCCAGCTGTCAAGGAGATAGGTGCAGGGGTTCTGGGGCATTGAACCCCTCTTTGGGGAAAACTAGGAGTAATGGTCACAGTCTGGACACCTGAGTTGTGAAGTAATTTTTTCTAATGTTGAGCCTGAAATGAGCCTGAAACAATCTTCCAGGAGTTTGTGACCATTACTCCTAGTTTTCCCCAAGGGCAACCTGGTAAACAGTTGTTCACCGAGATGTACGCTTCTGATGTAGTGGTAAGCTGCTACCAAGTCCCCTCTCAACCTTCTCTTTTTTAGGCTGAAGAGTCCCAGGTCCCACAGCCTTTCCTCACATGGCTTGCTGTGCAAGTCTCTGATGGTATGGGTAGCCCTTCTCTGGACTCTCTCAAGCTTTACCACGTCCTTGTTAAGGTACAGAGCCCAGAACTGGACACAGTACTCCAGCTGTGGTCTCACCAGAGCTGAGTAGAGCCAAGTAGAGCAGGAGAATCACTTCTTTGCAATGGTTTTGCTGGCTACAGCATTGCACTGCCAGCTCACGTTCATATTGTGGTCAATTATTACCCCCAGGTCTTGGTGACAAGCGATGGGGGATCTTCAGTCCTGCTGCCTGATGAGAGGCAGCAGTTGCACAAGCACCCATGTCACGAGTTTTACCTCTCAGCAGCTAGGAGTGCAGAGCCCCAGAACCCAGAAGCCCTGCACCTATCTCCTTGACAGCTGGCAGGCTTCGTGGTCACAGCAGGCCTGCAGCTTTCACCCTGATGCACCCTAACACACACAGTGACACCCACGTCACGAGTTTTGCTTGTCTGTAGCTTGAGGTGCAGTTTCCCCCAAGCCCCTGCACCTATCTCCCTGAAACATGGCAGGCTTCGTGGCCTCAGCAGGGGCTACCACCCCTGCAGTTTTGACCCCACCGTGACTTAACACGTACACATGACAAGTTTTGCTTTCAGAATTTTGTGGTGCAGTTTCTCAACCCCCTATACCTATCTCCTTGAAAGTTTTGACCCCACTGTGGCTTAACACATACACGACATGAGTTTTGCTCAAGTTTTTGGGGTGCAATTTCTCCAAACCCCCTGCACCTATCTTCTTGAAATGTAGCATGCTTCATGCCCTCAGAAGGGGCTACTATTCCTGCAAGTTTCATCCAAATCTGGCCAGAAATGACAACGTTATAGCCTGTTTCGACCTTCCCCATTATATCCTACGGGTGAAAATGTCAAAACAGGGTCGAAATGGCAAAAAGTTTTGATGGAACAGAACGGAACAGTCGTTTCAACTCGAAACAAAAGTTGAAATGGAACACTGTTCCATCAAAACAGAAAGCTTCCTTTTCGCACAGCCCTAGTGCCTAGTACACTGTTACCATCATGACTCATCTGCTATATCAGGGGCTGTCAACTGGGGGTACATGTACCCCTGGGGGTACTTGAGATGGCCCCAAGGGGTATTGCAGCCGCACGGGAAACTGGCGTGAGGTGGCATGGAGTGGTGAATGGCAGCGGCTGCATCTGAGCTCCCCACCCCCACCATTCACTCCACACCACCACCACGCACTTCTTCCCTGCACTACTGCGCACTGCCAACTTTGCGTCTGGCCGGCCATCAGCACCGCCCCCCCCCCCCACCTGGAAGGGGGTACACTTCAGAAGGGGCATCCACCAGAAGGGGTACACTCCTTTAAAAAAGTTGAAAACCCCTGTGCTATATCATAGTGCAAAGCATAGGCTGATCATGTGCAGCCCTTGTAAAGAGGACAAAGTAAATCTTATTGTTATAGGAATCTTCCCCAGACACCTACACTCTGCTTTGCTCATCTGGGGACAGAGTTCATCTGTAGGTTACTTACTGCACCCAAACTAGGTGGTCACATTTAGGATCCTCCCCAGTTTTATCTGTGACCCTGGCTCCAGCGCTGTCCACACACCAACATAAATTAGAGTCTTCGTCGCACTGCATGGATTTAAAGGTGCCGTCCTCCTCGCATTCAGGATCATACACGCTGTCCACATCAAGTCTTCTGCTGGGGTGACTCAGGCCAGTTTGACTCAAAGCGTCAGAATTTGCAGCGCTGCAGATTTCGATGTTCTGAAAAGCAAAATCATTACAGTCCATTCTCCACTCCCTCTGTATTGTAGTTTTGGTACCCAGCCACCACAGTCATGAACGTAAGAAGTGTGTAACACGCCCCAGACTTTAGGAAAGCTGACTTCAATGAACTCAGGCGTTTAGTCAAGGACACACTGCAGAGTAAGAGTTTTAAAGAGTTGAGAGCCCAGGAAGGGTGGCTGTGCCTTAAGGAAATGATCCTTCAGGGACAGAGGGAGACGATCCCGATGCGGGGAAAAAGGGGGAAAGGGGCCAAGAGGCTTCCTTGGCGGACCAGAGAAATCCAGAGCAGTCTACGGGCTAAAAGGGGGGCATATAAAAAGTGGAAACGGGGAGAGATTACTAAAGAGGAGTATACCTCCTCTGCTCGTGCTTGTAGGGAGGCAGTTAGACAGGCCAAAGCTACCATGGAGCTGAGGATGGCATCCCAAGTTAAGGATAACAAAAAATTGTTTTTTAGATATATAGGGAGTAAAAGGAAGGCCCAGGGTGGAATAGGACCCCTACGAGATGGGCATAAGCAATTGGTGATGGACAGGGGGGAACAAGGCTGAACTCCTCACTGAGTTCTTTGCTTCAGTATTCCTAAGCGAGGGGCAAGACAAGTCTCTCACTGGGATTGTGGAGAGGCAGCAGCAAGACGCCAGACTACCAAGCATAGACCCTGAGATGGTGCAGAGGCACTTGGAGGAACTGGATGCATTTAAGTTGGCAGGCCCAGATGAGCTCCATCCGAGGGTGCTGAAGGCACTGGCTGACGTCACTGCAGAGCCACTGGCGGGAATATTTGAACGCTCGTG